ATTCCCCACACTCCCCCCTTCACCCCCCACCTGTAGAAGATGTATCTGTCGTTCCTCCGGCCGTACGCCCCGCTCTCCGAGTCCCCGGATGCCCTCCTCCCGCTCTCCGCCTTCAGCTCTTCCCAGGCCGGGCCCTGCAACTGAGGCTCAGGCTCAGTCTCCGGCTCTGAGTCCACTCCCGGAGCCTCTCCGTCTCCGTCTCCCAAGGCCCCGCTCTGAGCCTCCCGATCGGCCTGAGACTCCGCCGGTGCCGGTGTCGCCGCCATCCCCGTTCGGGCCCGGAGCCGCCTACACGTCACTTCCCACCGCCAGGGGGAGCACAGCGTCCGCCCGGGATCGGGATCGGGATCAGGACCAGGGACCGGGTCTGGGTCCGGGTCCGGGCGCTGTAAGCTGGACTGAGACACACTGTGTTTGCAACTGCAACTCCATCTGGATCTGGATGCAAACTATGTTGATCAAGTTCAGTTTCTGCATCTAAAATTGCATCTGGATCTGAATCCAGTCCGATACCTAGATCTACACATCTGCGTTCCTACTATCTCTGCACTTAGACATTGGTCTAAATCTGAATCCAGGCAATCCTGGTCCTGGACCTACAGCTGCACCTAGATCTGAATATGGATTTCAGGTTATCTGGCTCAAGACTTGCATCTGAATCTAGATCTGGGTCTGACTCCAGGCTGTCTAAATTAAGATCAGCATCTGGTTCTACACTTTGATTTGATTTATTGTCACGTGTACCTATGTACGGTGAAAAGCTTCTTTTTCCTGAGCAGAACAGGCAGATCAAGGACCCACAGATAATAGGGTGAAAAAAAGACTTGGACAGAGTGAGGTAGATAGGTTACATCGCACAGAATGTGTGCAGGGCAAGATCAACACTTTTTGAAGTTAGAGAGTCCATTCATCAGTGTAATAACATCAGGGAGGAAGCTGTTCTTGAACCCGTTGGTGTGCGTCTTCAAGCTTCTGCATCTAAATCTACAGCTGCACCTAGATCTGAGTGTAAATCTAAATCCAGGCCATCTGGCTCAAATTCAGTACCACAAGCTATGGTTACATCTGAATCTATATCTACCCTTAGACCTGTATCTAAATTTAGATCTGGATCTGAATGCAAGCTAGCTGAGTTAAGATCAGCATTTAGAGTTCAATCTGCATCTCCATCTGCACCTGCACATAGGTCTTGATCTGAATCCAGGTAATCTGGCTCAAGTTCATTATCTGGAGCTAGACTTGCATCTGGATCTACATCTGGATCTAGATTTAGATTTGAATCTGAATCCAAGCTATGTGGATCATAATTGGTATTAGGAGCTAGATTTGTCTCTGGTTCTAGAACTTGATCAAGATCAGTGGCTGGAATTAGATGTGCTGATGGATCAGCCTACAGCCGTATCCACTCTTGGACCTGAATCTACATGAGATTTGGATCTACAACCTGACCTATAATCGCAGATATTTCCATTGTATATAGAGTTCCCTGTCCTCCATTTACATTGGGCTAAATAACAGGGCTAAATCATACTAAAGAGCTGTTTAATCTCAACAATGCAGCTGATCTTAATTGTTGAATGTTGTTGCAGCATAGAAACTACCAGATGAAAATTAACCTATGTCCATCTACTTTATCTTATACCAATGACAGACAAGAGCTGAGTGCAGTTAATGAGAGAATGAGACACAGAATGCTCCAAGATATCATAAACATATACAATTAGTAGCCCCTAATCATGTTTCATTGATTATGGAGGCTAGAGTGAAAAAAAAACACTGATGCAGTAGCCCAATAAAAAAAAATTGCAGTAGGTTTTAATCCAAGATGTCTTTTGGTAAGTAACAGAACTAGCACACTTAAAACTTAATAATTCACATTGATCAATTGATCTTCCCCATCTACATGTCTTTGTACTGTTACCTGTGAACCATCTGTTCCCACTATTTTTGCTGTGGTTCTGTTTTATTTTAAGCACTGATATTTGTTTATGGAATCGGAACCAGGTGTTACATAGAGAAGAAGAGGGGTGACACTGTCTTTAAGAATGCATTTCTTTTCCTTCTCTTACTCTGCCCTATGAAGTGGATCGTCAAATCATCAAATGAAGTTGTTCAACAAACAGCTGTATTTTCAGAACATGTTATTCAGGAAATGCTGGAACTACAGATAAATTAACATCTAGAAACGGAAAAAGAATCATTCCCTATCTCAGACAGATAGCCAGGATTCTTGGGATGTTTTCTTTCCTCTCCTGTTGGTCCCATATTCAATGGCCAATGATACTCACATGAACCTGGTGCAAATATTCCCAACTAAGCTGCTTTCAATTTGGTGTCCAGTCTCCTATTGAGAAATTGCTCCTGTAGGACTTGGACCATAGAGTCATAGAGCTATACAGCACAGAAACAGACCCTTTGGTCTAACTCATCCATGCTGACTAATTATTCTAAATTAATCTAGTCCCATTTGCCAGCATTTGGCCCACATCCCTTTAAACCCTTCCTATTCATATACCCATCCAGACATCTTTTAAATGTTAAATTAATTGTACCAGCCTCCACCACTTCCTTTGGCAAATTATTCCATTCACACACCACCCTCTGCGTGAAAGTTTTGCCCCTTAGGTGTCTTTTAAATCTTTCCTCTCTCAAATCTATGCCCTCCAGTTTTGACTCCCTCACCCCATGGAAAAGACCTTGTCTATTCACCCTATGCATGCTCCTCATGATTAACCTCTATAAGGTCACCCCTCAGCCTCTGATGCTCCAGGGAAAAATAGCCACAGATTATTCAGCCTCTCCCTATAGCTTAAATCGTCCAACCCTGGCAACATCCTTGTAAATCTTTTCTGAACCCTTTCAAGTTTCACAACATCCTTCCTGTAGCAGGGAGACCAGAATTGTACGCAGTATTCCAATAGTGGCCTAACTGATGTCCTGTACAGCCGCAACATGATCTCCCAACTCCTGTTCTCAATGTACTGAACAATAAAGGCATGCATACCAAACACTTTCTTCACTCTCCTGTCTACCTGTAACTCCACTTTCAAGGAACTATGTATCTGCACACCAAGGTCTCTTTATTCAGCAATACTCCCCTGTACCATACTATTAAGTATTCGTAGACAGAGATTTAAATTTAAAATAGTGAAAAATTATAAATTTATCGAAGTAATTTCCCATTCAGATCTGACAAATAAAATGATAAATCTGCGATGTAAAGAATTAGTCATTAAAATCAATTTATTTGAACAGTATTATCATTTATTAAATTGAATGAAACCCAATCTTACTTTCAAAGCTATCGTGAAGTATTACTGGCAGAAAAGCAGGCCACAGTGCAGAGTTAGACAGACTTGCATAAAGTTTATCGCCCAGAAACAGATCAATGCTAGTATTTATGAGCCGCTTTCCACCTCTCTTCATCCAACTCCATAAATTCCTTCTATTCCTTTCTGTTTTGTGCTCATCTTGCTTCTTTATTAAATGCATCCATGCTATTTGCCTCAAATAATTCATGTAGCAGTGAGTTCGACATCCTAACCACTCTCTGGGGAAAGAAACTTCCTCTGATTTCCTTACAGGATGTATTAGTGACTTCCATATATTTCTGACTTCCACATATTTTTAATTTCTGGCCCTGGTCTCGTCCATAAGTGGAAACATTTTTTTTATGTCAATCCTATCAAATTCTTTCATAATTTTAAAGACTTATATCTCTGTTCCCCATCAGTCTTCTTTCTTACAGGAAAAGAGGCCTAGCCTGCTCAATTATTCTTGGTACAGTTTGAACAAAAGCACACAATTACAAGCACACAGGCCAATTATCTTTTATTCAAGAAAAGGCTCAAAATCAGTTACAGTCATACATAATATTCAAAATAAGTCAGATTGTAAGAATGTTTTTTTTCAAAACATAAAATATTCATTTAAAACTCCAGCACTAAAATTGATCAAGTGCAAAAGAATGTTGCTCATCAAATCATTAATGTAATGAGATTATATCGCATTAATTTTATTTAATTAATCTTGAACAATTTGTGGGCAACAAGAATGATACTTATAAAGGAGACACTCCAAGCAATCACCAACAATAGGAAATATATTCTCCAGTTGATCTAGAAATTAAACTCAGAGCTAAACACGTTGCTTCTCAAAATGGAGAAGACAATGCAGTAATGTCAGTGTGAATGATCAATTTCCTGCTGTCTGCTATTTCAAGGACATCAACTTATTTGATTCACATTTACTTACCATTTGTAAAATAATAAAGTATCCATAGTTCCACAGGACTATAGAGCTGCTCTTGTGAGAGAGAAATGACTGGTGGTGGTTTAACCAGGGGGTGACCACCCCTCAGGTGAGGGTTGAGGTTGAGAAGGTGGGATCTTCATAGTGACCTAAGCTAGAATGGAAATTGAACCCATGTTGTTGGCGTCATTCTGCATCACAAACCAAGTATTCAGGCCAACTGAGCTAACTGACCCCCATTTGTTAAAACCTGGACTGTTGATAAAGGTATGTCACAAGAAGTCTTCAATAGTGCATCTGCCAGCACAATTAGTCTTCCCTTCTCCCAGTAACAGCTATGCTCCTAAATTTCTATTTTTTACCTTCCATTTGCTACGTTCTTTCCCACTCATTTAGCCAACCTGAATCCTTTTACAGTTTCTTGGTGTCCTCCTCAATGCTTACTTTCCTAGGAAATTTTCCATCGCCACTAAACTTAGGCACATTACACTCAACCATCATTGATACAGATTATAGATATCTGAAGCATAAGCATTGATTCTTGGAGTACAGTATACCAGCAATTGCAGTCTGTTAACCAGTCTGTTTTCTGATAGTAACCAATCGCCAATTATGCTCAAATATTACTCCATTCAATAAGCCCTAATTTGCTGTTTTGGCTAATATCTGAAATATTTGTGAAAATCCAAATACACTATATCTACTGGTTCCTCCTTATTCATCCTATTAGTTACAACCTGAACCAAAAAAAACTGACTGATTAGTGGATTTTAATTTCATAAACCTGTGTTGACTCCCTAAATGCTTTGTTATCATGTCCCTTATAATAAATTTAACACTTGCTACACCTAAAGTAAAGCTATCTGGCGTTTGTTCCCCATTTTCTCTCTTTTGTTGCTTTCTGGAGCAGCGGGGTTACATTTCCTACTTTGCAATAAGGGGGAATTCTGTGAGCTCAAAGCCTAAACATCATCATTTCCATTGCCTTCTTTTTAATCGAGGCCATTGGGTCCAGTGCACTTGTTTTTAGTTCCATAAATTTCTCCAGCAGCCTTTCTTGATTGAAACTGGTCACCATATGTTCCTCACTCTCACCAGACCCTTGGTTCTCTGTTACATCTGGAGTATTTTTGGGTCTTTCGCAGTGAAGATAAATAAAAAGCATTTTTTCAATGTCAGTACCATTTCCTTATTCCCTCTAATTTGTCCTGTTTCCACCTCAAAGGAACCTAACTTACTCTTGCAACACTCTTTTTGGATACGTATGGAATCTTTTACAATCTATTTTCATATCTCCAGCTAGTTAACTTTCCTACTTGTTTTTACCAGTTTTTGATCATCCTTTAATGAATTTGCAAACTACTTTTTGCAACATTATTAGTGTCTTCCTTTAATATTACATTTGCTTCTTTTGTTAGCTATGGATGAATCTTTTTTTCCTGTGGAGTTTTTATTTCTCAAGGGAATCTACATTCATTGTAAATTAGTTCTTTTTTTTAATTGACAGTCATATCTTTTAATTAACTTCCCAATTTATGTGAGCGTCAATCCAAATAGCTTGCTTTGTTTTGACAATAGTTTTAGATTTCACTAAATCACTCTAACTACCTATAAAATTCTTATATATTATGGTTACTCTTCCCTATATGTTCTTTTACTACACCTAACACTGTTTAATTGTACAACGATAAATCTAAATTAGGCCTTTCTGTAATTACATTGATAGCACAAATACTGATGAAGCAATGTGCAAAGTTGGCAGGCTTGGCTGCAGAAGAAGTTCACAACTCACAGATGCCCACATTGGACCATTTGATATTCATTCACCCATGCCAAAGGACCTTCATGCCACCCACATCCAGATACACAGAGGCAGCATGTGTCTGGCTCAGTGAGACCAAGCCGTGCAAATTTGCCTTTAATGTTTATGTAAAATTGAATCAATAAGTTAAATATTCACAGAAATGGAAACAATATTTTTTAAAAAGCAGATAAATTGTAGCACCTTATGTCAAACACTTAGACAATATACATTTTGACTACCACCTAGATATTGAAGGGAGTTGAATTCACTAGAAAAATAAAGATACAAATAGTTAAAAAGTACAAGCACCCACTCAGTTTGGAGTAGGAATTGGCTCATGTTTCAATCTTATGAGCCAATTGTTGCACTGGACCTACATCAATGCCCAGATACCTGCCTAAAATGGATGTTAGTAACTCTAACATGTAAGTGAGAAGTTCAACACTTGTTTGGGTATGACTCAGAGAGAGAGGGAAAAGTTGACTGGAACAGATGCCAGGTCTGATCCATTCAGGTTCTTTCAATGATTACCACCCCTAGCATCGGAAAGGTGGTATTTATTTCTTTTGGATAATCTTCACTTGCAATTGGGAAGGATAGTCAAAATCCAATATTGTATTCCGGCAGGCAAATTTCAATTCACCTTCACTCACTCTCATATAAAAAAATACAGCCCAACTAATAGACACCAAATGACAATTTTATATTCGTGGATAGAAATCTTGCTCCTTTTTGATAAAGAAAGTCATGGAGAATCCATGAGGTTTTGTATAATTTAGTATGTTCTCCAGTAAATATTTTAGCTCAGTGCAAGATCAAGCTCAAGCCACTGCTAGTTGTACCATTGCCTTGATGTTGTTTCATTGACAAGCAGGAGCCTTAGCATCTTGAACCACATAGAATGCATAGGAAAGTGCAGGGAGAACAATTGGACTTCCTGGTTGAAGCACTTTCCCAGTGATAATTGGCAAGGTCTTCCGGTCCACCATTTTGAGAAGCTCACCATTGAGTTGAACAGACCTAAGAAACAGACAGAAGTTCTGATTACTCATGCAGTCCACAACTTGTCCATTGCACTTTCCTCCTTCTAACAAATTGGACTGGATTTCACCATGTCGTAAAATCTGTGGTAATTACACGCACATGCACAATGACACTAAATTATTCTCAAAGGTTCCTCAGTTAACTAGGAAATGGTGACACATACACATGGACCAATCCACTTGGTATAAAGTGTCACCCTTCCTTCCAATCCAGAACCAACATCATAAAAGGGACACCAGAATACAGTCCATTGTCAGCTGCCCGAACACAGCTATGTAGTAGCCAGACCCCCTCTCCTTGAATCATTTCAGGCATCTCAATTATATTCCAGCCTCTTGATAGATCTCCCTGGACAATCAGCTTGCAGTTTCCTCTTTTGCCTGCCAGTCTCACCCACTAGGTCCCTCACTTTCCCAGATTCTGGCATTATCTGCCCTGGAAAAAGTGTGGGTGCTTCCCTCAAGATTCCAGACCGGACATTGGCCTCCAAATAGGAGCCTGAGGAAGAACTGTCTATTGACATCACAGCAAAGATCAGACACTTGCAACCTTAAACAAGAGTCATTAATACCTTGATGTGACTGATTTTATGAATGTATTGACTTTCAAAGGGGCTGTTTTGTGGCTGGTTTAAAAATAAACTGTTGCAAGTATGCCCATCCAGAGTGTTCTGGGGACCCATATTTACTTGCTTTCTCATTAACTGAATTATAATTAGTTCCTCCCACACCCCCCAAAAAGTAGAGGAAGAACATAGGAACTATCAATTTTATAAATTACAATAACATCCTTTCAATGCATCAGATATGGTCTCAGGAGCTAGAATATCTACTTGGTTCTGTCAGCCATATTCATGCCTCTGAATGAAATTAATGGGTATAAGCCCCAGTGCTGGATTTCAGTAGATAATCTATGTGAAGAATATTGTGCAGAGGGAGTGCTGCACACTTACTTCAGATGTTGTGAAAAATTTCCAATTCCACTATTTAAAGAAGAGGAGGGATATTCTCTCTGTGTCCTGATCATTTTTATCCTTCTAACAATGGTCATCACTGTTTATCATCTCTTGTAATATGCAAATTCACTTGTTGCATTACCCCACTTAAACTTCAAAAGTACTTCACTGGTTGACGACCAGGGGGTGCGATAGATACTGAATACATGCAAGTATGCAAGTACCTACCGAACAATGGTGGCTGGACTCAAATCTGGTTGAAACAGGATTACATGGTGATGGTGGGGATTGAAGGGTGAGGGGAGGATGATTATATGGGTGCAGAGGTAATGGGACAGGTTACGGAAATGCTTTCTGTAGAAATGGCCTCTTGGCTTGGCCTCTTCAACCCTGGTTCAAGCAATTTGGGGAAGTGAAATAAAAAGAGGAATGTTGGCTCAATGCAGAACATCAAGGTAAATACTTCTGGACAATCTAGTCATTGAATTTGTTAAAAGCCAAAGTGTGCTTACTGTGAATATAATCCTTTCTCACTGTCACCAGGTTGGAGCAAGAACTGAATAGTTTTGTTGAACGAAGAGCAGCAAAGGAGAATGTGTTTGTCTTGATCACTCAGGTTTAAAGCAAACATTGTAACTGATCCCTTTCGATAGATGTGGCTGGAAGTGGAGAAAGATGAATTCGTATTATTGTCAATAATCATTAAACAAGTTCTTCTCCTGATCCTCCCAACATTAAGTGTACACCCAAATTCCATACTAAGCACTAGTACATGATGTGGAGGCGCCAGTGTTGGACTGGGATGGACAAGTTCAGAAGTCACACACACCAGGTTATAGTCCAACAGGTTTATTTGAAAACACAAGCTTTCACAGTGCTGCTCCTTTGTTAGGTGAAGTTCAATTGGTACTAGTCAATGAAAAACTCACATACACACACACACACACACACACACACGTATACAAAACAGGCAGATATTTCATGGAGGGAGAGGTCAGTTAGCTCAGTTGGCTGGACAGCTGGTTTGCAATGCAGACTGATGCTAATGCTGCTGGTTTAATTCCCAGATCACCTGAGGTCACCATGAAGGTCCCACCTTCTCAATCTTTCCCCTTGCCTGGGGCATGGTGACCTTCATTTTAAACTCACCACTAGTCATCTCTTTCTTCAATAAGAGAGGAGCCCTACGGGACTACGGCAACTTTATTTAATGAAGGTGATGGAGGACCTATTTTTTATTCACAGAATGAGGGCATGGCTGGCTAGACCAACATTTAGTGCCCATCCCTAATTGCCTAGTTGAGAGTCAACCACATCGCTGTGGGTCTGGAGTTAAACGTAGGCCAGCTCAGGTAAGGATGGCAGACTTCCTTCCCTAAAGGACATGAGTGAACTGGATGGGCTTTTCTGACAATCAACAATGGATTCATGGTCATCTTAATTCCAAATTTCTATTGAATTCAAATTCCACTATCTGCCATGGTGGGACTTGAACCTAGGTCTCCTAGAACATTACTTGAGTCTCTGGATTACTAGTACACTAGACCACCACCTCCCCAAACTGATTGCTTGTTAGAATTCTGTGTTGCATTTTATTGTAGGTATCTGCTGTGTTAAGTACCAGCTGAGCAGTGCTAGGCTTCCTCCGGGATCAAGCACCTGTGGGCAGAAGTCCTGGTGCCAAGACTACCTCCTGACAGAGGCCAGCAGCTCCGCTGGGGATGAGTGGCTACTGCTAGTAATGCAACGATGCGAGGTACAGGGTCACTGATGAACCCAGGCACAGGTGAGTGGTGACAAGAGGAAATGACTCTCTGCCCCAATGCAGGTTTCCTTGATCAGGCACTGAGTGCGTATAAAAGAAGGAACCTCAGAAGCCCATGAGCATTGCTGGCAGTGAGTCCACTGTCTGCTGAATTATGCGATGGGGACTATATGTGTGCATTGAGGGTCTCAATTGTCAACAGTGGGAAAGTCAGATGGCCAATCTACGATGCACTGAATCAGTGCAGAGGTTGAATGGCAGCAGAGGCCCCATCCATCACCAAGCTCACCACAGCAGTGGCAGTAAATTCCACCCATGCTCCCACAGCAAAATGATTGCACATTTCCATTGAAGAATTTTATTTGCAGCCCATTTAGAAAACAAGAAAGTAGCAAAACATCACACTGCTGTGACTTGAGTTCCAGCTTAACCCAAATGCAGTTCAGAATGAGACAATTCAATCTCACCCTTTAGAATGAAAGAAAAGCACAAAACAAATAATTATTGGATGGACATCTGCCCAGATTTATGCCATTAAAATTAAATTGGAAATATAAGTGTCTATTGCGCTGCTTTCTTATCACACAAATAACAGCGGTACATGGTATGAAGCTTGGCAAAGGCTGAATGATGTTATTGTAGAAATATTTTGTATGGTTCTTTAGACATTAATGGAAGTACTACTACATTCATTTTATACACTTAACCTTTAAATTCAAAGAACAATTTAATGAATTATGTTTATAAACAGTTGTTCAGTAGTGCAAACATTGAGTATTGCTGAAAAAGGTCACATTTTGTCAAGCATTTCATCTTCTGCTCATCAGAGTGTTCAACAAGAATATAAATGTAAAAGGAGAACAAAATTTTATAACCGTATGAGCAAAGACTGCTGATTGGTTTGCAAATGAAGTCTGATTGGTAGAGGTGTTGCCAAAGAGAATGCACCAGTTAGATGATGACTGACATTTAACTAGCACACTTTATTTAAATTTAAACCAGATAGATTCACTCGGATTGGCCAAATTACTGCTCTGCAAATGAACTATAGACTGACTGTCAACTATCTTGTTAAGTTGAAACACATGCAATGCATGTACATGTTCGTTCTGTCTGCAACCATAATTTCATATGCATATATTTATAATGTATATTATTGCCCATTGCAATTACACCTTCCTGCCATAATATCTCACTTCTGTATCTTCCACCAACTCTGCTAAGATTATCGAGAGGTGCCCTTAAGTATTGCTGGTTAACTCTATACGAAACCAGAATATAAAATTGAAGCGTAGTAAAAAAACATAATGTTCACATGGAATTACATCTGCATGTTGTGGCTTAATTATTCATGTCCTCTAAATTGCACATGATCTAAATAATAAACTTGTTTGGACATGTCATTTAACAAATTTGTGGCAGTTCAGAGCAAGTCTTGGGCATTGATAGAGCCTATCAGAAGGGTTGGAGAAAAAGGAATTGTTAGAGGATTTCTAGCAGGAAAGAAGAAATATTGAATGGGGTGCCCTTCAAATATAATATATAGGACCACAATTGCTACTAATTTTGAAATGTAACAGTTCATATATATCCCAGAAAACTGTCAGGAAAAAACATTCATGCTATGTTGACTTCAAAGGCTTATCTATAATTTCTTCTCCCCCTACTAGTTCACTTCAGGCCACAATGCTTTAGATAATTACAGATAAATCGTCCAAGTAATAGTGTGAAATTTCTTTCTGACCTTTATCAGAATTATTATAATCCTCATTTTATCTTAAAACCTAAAAGTAAATATCGAAATTGTTGCAACATCGTTAAACAATGTAAAGTTCCTATTTTTTACATTCCTATGTTAACAAAGAACAAAGAAAATTACAGCACAGGAACAGGCCCTTCGGCCCTCCAAGCCTGCGCCGATCCAGATCCTCTATCTAAACCTGTCGCCTATTTTCCAAGGATCTGTATCCCTCTGCTCCCTACCCATTCATGTATCTGTCTAGATACATCTTAAATTACGCTATCGTGCCCGCCTCTACCACCTCTGCAGGCAACGCATTCCAGGCACCCACCACCCTCTGCGTAAAGAATTTTCCATGCATATCTCCCTTAAACTTTTCCCCTCTCACCTTGAAATCGTGACCCCTAGTAAGTGAGTCCCCCACTCTGGGAAAAAGCTTCTTGCTATCCACCCTGTCTATACCTCTCATGATTTTGTAGACCTCAATCAGGTCCCCCCTCAACCTCCGTCTTTCTAATGTAAATAATCCTAATCTACTCAACCTCTCTTCATAGTTAGCGCCCTCCATACCAGGCAATATCCTGGTGAACCTCCTCTGCACCCTCTCCAAAGCATCCACATCCTTTTGGTAAAGTGGCGAGCAGAACCGTACGCAGTATTCCAAATGTGGTCAAATGTTACTTCCAACTAACCACAGTTACTTCCAACACACAAGAATTCTAGACAGCTAAATTTTTGGTCTGTCCTTTGCTTTCAATGTTTTACAAGAAAACTTTTACTTTTTTAAACAATTGAATTTCAAATTGAACGGATTTGTGTTTGAATTACTGTTTTTCATTGGACTGCACCTTTCTCCTACTTTACAATAGTGACTACATTTTTTAAGAGTAACTCATTGATTGTTAAGTGCTTTGGGCTGTCATGAGATAATGAAAGCTGCTATATAAAATACAAATCTATCTTTTGGATTCAGGAGGATGTTAAATTGAATATTCTCCCTTCAAACCCATCCCCATCACCAAGAATAGATTAGTTGTTTCTTCTTGTTTTTTGTGGGGCAGTGTTATGTACAAAATAGCTGCCGCAAAGAATTTACTTGACATTGAAATATTCTGAAATGGGTCATGCAGGATAACATGATTTCTAAATCCAATCTCTTGTCTTCATCATCAAAAATATTTTTGAAGTGGAATAGCTGAAAAACATCCTATTTAGCAGCCAAATATTGTCAATTTGCAAGCTCTCCAATGAGGTATGTATGGCAAGACTTCCTTTCTGCTCCTTAGCATTTATTGAATGTTTTGTTTTAATAAAACTTCTATGACTTCATTTCAAAATCACTGGGGCCTTAAGTTGAACGTTTGCTAAATCTCTCATCTTCCACTTAACGCTTCATTGAATTCTTTATGAAAACAGTGCATTAATAATGGATTAAAAGTACAAAAAGAAGTCACTTTGGAAAATAAAACAAGGAAAGAAGTCATTGCACCATTTGTAAATTACGTTTTCATGTCCAGTTCACTTCATTTCCATTTCAGGTGGTGTAAAAAAATCCAATGACACTATTTAAAGAAGGACAATGGAAAATCTCTTCAAGGTCCTGGCCAATCTTTATTCATAAAACAGTCTTACCAGACAAGACTAAAAACAACAAATGCTGGAGATCACAGTGGGTCAGACAGCATCCATGGAGAGAGAGCAAGTTGGCTCCGATGAAGAGTCATCTAGACTCGAAATGTTAGCTTGCTCTCTCTCTGTGGATGCTGTCTGACCCACTGTGATCTCCAGCATTTGTTGTTTTCGGTACAGGTTCCTGCATCTGCAGTAATTTGCTGTTACCAAACAAGAGTTTATGTAGTCATTATCATTTTGCAGTTTGTGTGCAGACTGGCTGTTGTTTCCTACATTACAATAGTGATTACACTGCTGTGTCATTTAATTGTTTAGAAAGCACTTGGGACACCTCAAGGTTGTGAAATTTTCTGTAGGGATTCAAGTTCTCTGTTCCTTACGGGCATAGGATAAGGTATAATTTCTGCTCAGTAAACAGACTGAAGTGAAAATCTGAATTTGTCATCTAGGCCTTCTTTCATGAGTCCATAGCAACAGCAGCAATCACTTAGTGCAATTAATAAGCTTCTGAACAAAACACACAAAATGTTCTAGACCAGCATCAGGTAAGAAAGGTATTCAGGAAGGTCCTTTACCTCTTGGGGTTGGTACAGTGCATGTACACACGCAAGGTTCCATTGTTGGCCGTGTCTCTGTGCATAGCAGATACATTCAGTACCCTGGTACCTACAAGTTTTTTATAAATCAGAGAAAGCCAATAGTCCTGCAAAGAACAAACATAAGGGTTTATACATAATATATATATATAAATATACATGTTTCAACCAGGAATTCCTAAACACGGGGAGACAGGTACTAAAACTGCAATATGCTGAGAGAGCCTGCAATCAATTCCAGAACCCGAATCGAGTAGATTTGGCTATATACTTGTATAGTTCCTATGCTACAAGACTTTTTAAGAATTTATTCAGAGGACTTTGGTGTTACGTGTAAGACCAGTATTTATTGCCTTTTCCCAATTGCCTGATGATTCACCATCTTAAATAAAACTGAATGGTTCACTCAGCCAAATCAATAGACAGCTGAGAGTGGGCCAAGTATCAGAAATGGCATAATTTCAGATCAGATAAGGGCATCAGATTTCACTCACTGAAAGGTATTGATGAACAACATGCTTTTTCTTTTAAAAAAATCCAATAGTTACATAGTCACGTGGATGTTAGATTTTTATCCCACATTTGATTAACTAAATTTAAGTTCCACAGGCAATGTGGTGGGATTTGACCTTCTGTCTCTAGAGCATTCATTCAAGCCTCTGGGTTACCAGCATATCCACTATGGTGCCACATCTCCCCATCTCGTTACACAAAAACAGCTTCAAATCCCACCTTTGTAGTTTGAGAATTTAATGTAATTAAAAAAATGGAAATAAAAATTTGGTTTCAGTAAAATAACCACAAAAAATTGCTAACTGGTTCACCTATAATCTTTAGAAAGAAAACCTGCTGTTTTTAATCTAATCTGGCCCTATGTAACTCCTGTCCCACATCAATTAAGTTGACTCAACTGTCTTCTACAGCAGCCTATCAAGCCACTTAATTATACATTAAACTCTTACCAGCAGGTGAGCAATAAGTATTAGTCTTGTTAGGGACGTCAATATCCCAAGAATGAATATTTAAAAGGTTAAAATTGCGAGTGAAGTACAATGATTCTCGCCACTAATACAAAATTTTGATAATCCAGTGCCTTTTTTCGCCAAAGAAACTCACTATATTTAAGACAAATAGGCACCAAATCCTAAGAGACAATGTTGTATTCCCTCATTTAATCTCCCACCCCAATCATAAATTTTACTCACACTGTCAGGTTAAAACATTTAATTTAATATAGAATGTACTTGCAACTTGATAAACAGCTCTTACTATCTTTCAGTCTCTGTATAAATCAATGCAGAGCCACCCACAATGATAATTTTAAGCATTTAGTGGGATCAGATCAGTTGTCTCTCTACTTCAATGGAATAGCTCCCATCTAAGTACCATATCAACAAACAATTTACTTGGAGTCAAATAAAGCTTCCTACCTTCTTAATGATGATTGAGGTGCCAGCAGCACCTCTTCATCTTTCTAAATGGTGCACCTATGCTGCGATGTTTCCTGCATAATTGTGAATTGTTGCTATTTTGCAGTATCCAGGAGTTTCATTAGTTCCTGAAGCTTCCAGAGAAATTCTAGAGAGTTGGCAACCCTGCTTTCACTACCTTCCACTTAGGTCCACAGCCTACCTTGTCACTGAAAGGGCTAAAGTGGCATTCTGCGTTGGAGTGCAAGAGGTAAGTTCAGCAATCCTGATCTTCTTGCAAGTTGCCCAACTGCAGCAGAATATTTTTGCCCTCAACGGCAGTAGGGTAAATTGTAAATGATACACACACACCCCAACTACCCACCTACCCATAAAATGCTATTTGGTTTGCTGCATGTGGTAGCACTGAACATTCCCAAGTCAGATGGAGTGTGGGCATTTCTCCTGACCCCAATGAAAATTGTGAGTGTTTCTAATGCCCCCAACAGTCAGCCTGAAGCACATATAATCCTCCCAGTATTGTTCAAATTCCCACCTGTCTTTACAACCCACAAAATGGCTATTGAACAAGGATGAAATTACCTGAATCTATTTATTTCATGATGGAAACATATTCTGTTTATGATTTTACAGTCATACGAGAGGGAGCAAGGTCTCAGAAAAGGAGGAAGACACTTTCATCTCAAATCTTTTCCTTATTATCATTTGTGTTTAAACCCAGAGGCAGGAATCTTTAACAGTGCCAACAAGCATACAGAAAAGATTGAGTCACGATTATTATAGTCCAACCAAAGAATTTAAGGTGGACCCATTTGCTATCAGGTGGCAACTAGTGACGGAACAGTGGCCAGTTCAAGTCTTCCGCAGATCAAGAAACAGTTCTTAGTTTACAGGCCATGCCTTGGTTGCTGTACCAGTAGACACAGTTGGACTAAATGGCACAGCATGTCCTGTGGCCCAGTCTTTCTCTATTTAGTAAGTAACAGAGCTGTGACTTTCAAGGATAACTACATACAAGTTTGGTCTTAGATTTTAAAATTGGGTCTCAACTGGGTTTTAGTGCAGGGGTAACTGTTAAAGAAACCAATATACACTTATTGGGTTTGCTTTAATTAACACCTCTAACAACCCAAGATTCTTTAAGTTAGGTGCTGGTTAACTCACAGGGAGGTGATGGCCTTGTGGTATTATCGCTGGACTGTTAATCCAGAGACCCAAACAACGTTCTGGGGATGAGGGTTTGAATCCCGCCACGACAGACGGTGTAATGTGAATGAAATAAAAATAAATCTGGAATTAAGCGTCGACTGATGACCATGAATCCATTGTCGATTGTCAGAAAGAACCCATCTGGTTCACTAATATCCTTTATGTAAAGAAACTGCCACATTCCTACCTGGTCTGGCCTACACATGACCCCAGACCCACAGCAATACGGTTGATTCTTAACTGTCCTCTGGGCAATTAGAGATGGGCAATAAATGCTGGTCCACCTAGTGATGCTCTCATCCCGTGAAAGAATTAAAAAAGATGCCAAGTGAACGTTAGTTTCAGTGTTTCTTAAAATTCTTACTTAAATTAGAAACTGAATCATACATACGGGTAATGGTTCAAGATCCCTATCCACCAGCTGGTAAAACCCTGCGCCAAACAAAGCCTGTCTGATAACAACATCAATGCCCAATTTAGCCGACAGTCCAAGTTTGTCCAACCACCTGTAAGATAATGCAGAGTTGATGAGGACCTGGGCTGATGAAATGCTGCTCACATCTGCTCAATAGATTTTTAAAAAACTGTCCCAAAAATGCAGCATTTATTTCTGAAATGTTTGCAGGTTGTGAGTATAAACTGGAGATTCACTTGGAACTTTACAAATAGACACAGACTAAGACTGTGATTGTTGGGTTGTAACATGTACGCGTGTACTGTGTAACTTGTAAATAAATATAAAAGTTACGTAAAATTTGGCTCCAGTTCTATCCTTCGCTTACTGGATTTCTGGATTAAAACACGAAGTGACGTGAGAAGCAGTCTACAATGCATTTAAATTCCAGGACTCCACAGTATGATACAATATTCTTTAAGCTTGATGGCATCATTAACAGAACAGAATGACCAGTTATCAAAACTTTCCATTTACCATTCTAACTAGCAGTTCTAAGTTGTGGTCACAGTAGGTGCCTAACAAACCAACTCAGCAGCACCATTCCAACCACCTCAAATCAAGGAAAGAGGGACAGGGATATAAATAGTCAGTATTCTCATTACTAATCATAATCCTGGAAATTATTTGGACAAGTGATTCAAATTTTGGGACAAAGAAAAGACTTAGGGTGGTACAGTGGTCAGCTCTGCTGCCTCACAACACCAAGTACCCAGGTTCGATTCCAGCCTTGGGTGACTGTGTGGAGTTTACATGTTCTCCCCGTGTATACATGCGTTTCCTCCCACAGTCGAAAGATGTGGTTAAGTGGATTGGCCATGCTAAAAATAGCCCTGTCGTGTCCAAAAATGTGCATGTTAGGTGGTTAAAAAAAAACATGCCGGATTATGGAGATGGGGTGGAAGGATGGTTGGATGCTCTTTGGAATGTTGGTGCAGACTCGATGGTCTGAATGGCGCCTTTCTGCACTGGAAGGATTCTATGAAATTGGCTGTGATTCAGTCAAATAGTTATCCAAGTCAGTCAGAGCACACTTATGATTAATGGTCATTTGGTGAAGGTACTGAAGGGTGATTCTGAACTTCACTCAGCAAGAAGACAAGGACAAGAACAGATTCCAAAGACCCTTGATGTACATCATGGTAATTTTATTACACTTGTTCACCTTGACAGAGGGATGGAAATTGCAATGACACACTGGGGACACCATTCCATCCACTTTGTCGTTTGAATTATTTCTGAGCAGCTTCCAAAATAGGATTCTTGCCAATGTTCCACAAACTGGAGGAGGAGCAAAAAAATGTAAATACTCTGAATAGCTTTAGAACTTTTATAATTTTTTATAAATTGTTTTTCTCTTGGATATAACCCATTCAGTGTCTGTCAGTGTATTAGACATTGGACCATCCCCCTCTGGTCAAATCAGCACAATCCAGACAGATGAATGGGATGAAAATTTCTTAGACCTATCGATGTCTTACACCAAATGAGTTTAGGATGCCTGAATCCAATGTCAGGGTGGAATGAGTGTCACAGAACAAAAATTGCGAACATGTGGAAAAGGCACTGCTGAAGAAGAAACATTAGCATAGGTACAATTAGGTGGCCTTCGGATGGTGGGCTTAGCCCATGTTTTGAAGCAGACAAGGGAGAATTGTATTCTGCATCGATTCTATTACACATCTGGTTTCATCCTGAATGATACAAATGTGCTGACCACTGTGCGAAAAATAACTGAGGAATTAGCCCTTACAAGTGGCTTACAGGATAATGAATGTTTCCTACTCACATAAAGCCAGCTACAAATTTGTCTGATAGATCAGGAGCACCTCCTCCAAAAGCTGAACTGGTCTCCCCTAACCATACCTTCTTCTCAGGGGCAATTTTAGAAGCAACCTGTGGTAAGAGAAGTATAAGAGCTTAATGTTATTGTGAAGATCAATATTATTAGTGATTGAATCATCAAAGCAAGATTAATGATATATTTTGAGATGGAAGCAAACTACTGTGGATTCCGGAAGTCTGAGATAAAACAAAACAGTGTTGGATATACTCAGCTGATCAAGGAGCTTCAGGATTGTTAACATTTCAAGTCAAGATGACTATCATCAGTGGAGCAGCAGAATAGCAACTGTTACTCCTTTCTCATAAAACAACATCTCAATCTCAAACGTTAGCCCTACTTCTGCCCACAGATGCTACCTCATCTGCTGAATATTTCTAGTGTTTTTTTTTGTTTCCATTTAAAGACATTGTACAGTAATTGTGCATCATTGAAAGTGTGTTAATTGTTCCACGACCCAACATGTCAGAAAGTCCAAAAGAGATGTTGATTACCTTGGTCTGACATTTGTAAACAACCTGTAAAGTGTGTAGGAAATACAGGCACTTGGGGAAGAGTGAACGTTGTCATCCATTTTAAATGCAGCTGACATTTCAAGACGCAAGAAGAAGCTGTGAAAAGGATTCATTTCAAAATGAGAGAACCACTTAAGGATAGGTTGTTCGGTAACTCCATCCATGATCTGAGCAAAAAGATTTTGTTTAATTTTAAGTTTAATAGGGAAACTCTCTGTGCCATTCTGTAGATTGTACAGCTCATGTACACTTGATAGATGAGGCTAGCTAGTAGCGACAATTGGAAGAGAAACAAATGAATTCTCGCATTATTTGTCTTTTGGAGCAGATTTTATAATCTTTAGTGATAAGTTTCCATCATTTTCAAATATTTGGCAGAGAGCGGGGAGGGCAGAGTTAATTTTTAAACTGGCGTCATGACATTGGCTAACTGCTGAACACTGTACCACTTCACAGAATAGTATGCTGGAAATCAAGCCCTCCTATTCATGAGGCATCACAAAAGTTAAAGATTTTATATAAGTACACAAAACTCCCCAATTTACCTGTCTTTTAATCCCAGGTTGACAGAAAGCTTAAGTATTTAACAGGAGATGCTTTTATTTCAAATAAATAGATTCTAGCCACAGGTAAATAACTATGAACCCTTGACATTTAACTCTACTAGTTAAAACTCTAACCCCCTTATAAAACTCACCCTACACACACATGCATACAGACACAGACAAAAAATAAGAGTGCTAGGGATGGAGAGGAAAACTAAACTGGCTGTTCAAATCGTCCTTGACCATAGGGTTGACTGAAATGATCTTTTTTGGCTCGTCAGGACTTGTTCGGTGATCTCTATTTTCTCAAGGTATTTTCACTTGCAAGCAGATGGCCAGAGAAAAAAAAATGTGGAGCTGGAAAAATACAGCAGGTCAGACAGCATCCAAGGAGCAGGAAAGTCAATATCTCAGGTTGGAACCCTTCTTCAGGACTGGGGAGGGAGAGAGAAGCCCAGAAATAAATACAAGGGGAGTGGGGTTGGGAGGAGGGTAGGTGAGACGGAGATAGATGGATGGAGGTAGGGGGTAATTGTCGTTGGTCAGTGGGAAGGGTGGAGTGGATAGGTGAGTCTGAAGATGGACAGGTTGGGAATGGAGAGATTTTAAAGCTGGTGAAATCAATATTCAGATCATTGGGCTGTAAGCTCCCAAGGTGAAATATGAGGTGTTGTTCCTCCAGTTTGTGTTTGGTCTCACTCTGACTGTGGAGGAGGCCAAGGATGGACATGTCACCAGGCTAGTGGGAGGGGGAGTTAAAGTGGATGGCAACCGGAAGGTTAGTGCTTGCAGAGCGCAGGTGCTCCACGACCCGGTCCCCGAGTCTGCGTTTGGTCTCCCTGATGTAGAGGAGACCACATCGGGAGCAACGGGTACCGTGGATAAGGTTAGATGAAGTGCAGGTGAATCTCTGTCAGATTTGGAAGGATTGTTTGGGGCCTCGGATGGAGGTGAGAGGGGAGATGTGGAGGCAAGTGTAGCACCTCCTGAGGTTGTAAAGAAAGGTACTGGGTGTGGTGGAGGGGTTTGTGGGGAGTGTGGAACTGACTGGGGAGTTGCAGAGTGAACAGTCCCTGCGGAAAGCAGTCAGGGGTGGGGAGGGAAATATCTTTTTGGTGGTGGGGTCCGATTGTAGGTGGTGGTAGTGTTGGAGGATGATGTGCTGTATTCGGAGGTTGGTGGGGTGGTACTGGTTCACAACTTACGATACTTCTGACTTATTAGTTAAAAGTAACAGCTTGCAGCAATTGTTGGGGGAAAATAATCTGGTTTTCTTCAAGCTTCAGGTGCTTTGTTTTGCTGCAGACAGAAGGGCAGCACTTTCCTTTTTAGATTTCCAATGATTTCTGCTAAATCATTCATAACCACAAGCTCTTCAGCTACCTGGGAGCCAATCGTGTAGTTATTGGCAGGCAGAAGGCCTTTGGCATCAGCAACTGGGCATCAGTATACCGACCAATCAGTTATTTGTTGCCGACTAAATCTCAATCCGTGGTTCCAGCCTGTCTGCAAGTAAACTTCCCCCATTGGTTCGATTAAAAAAAACTATATAAACATGTGGCAATTCCTTCCAGAGTCCTTGGTTTTAAAATTGATTCTCTTCCCCATTTAAGACCACAATCAAAAACAGAGAAAAATAAAAACACACGTTCCTTATGACACAAAAGTCTGCTTACCTCAAAAATTTGATTAATTTTAAGCCCAAGGCTGTCCAACACCTGAGGGTTCAGGAAGTCCTTCAGCGATGCAGTCCGCCCATTCACATAATAACTGGCAAACAATGGAGCATATTATTGATACTGCATATATTTCAAAGAACTTTATTTGTGCAAACCAGTGAATGCTTGAACATAATTACATAAAGTTGCTTATTTAGACCTTTTCATGAGCAGGGTTTAATTGCTGTGATTAAATTAAATTGAAATGAGGATCTAGGTATGAGCTGCTTCATTTCAGAGCTTCTGTTCTGGTAACTAGAACAAAAGTACTTAAACAACATCCTTTTCCCTTCCCCAAATTCTATCCCCTTTATCCTTTGGAAGACTGAAGAACCTCTTTCCATTCATCAGGATGGTCACAAATGTTTACAAATTTTTAAGTCCCACTTATTATCTCATGTTCTTCAATATTCCTATTAGCCAAAAAAATGTATCCATCATTTCCAAAAGTTACAGCTGCATCCGTTCTCTCAGCTATGACACATATTCATCAAGTTTCTGTGTAGAATGTTACAGCTTTGTAAGTGTGCACAGGCAGTCCCCAAGTAGCGAATAGGTTTCATCTTGAGTTTGTTTGCAAGTCGATTTGTACACAAGTTTTGTACGCATGAAAATATAAAGGAGCTGTTCATGACTACAGGAAATGTTTGTAGGTCAGATCTTTAAAATTACACCTTGTATGAGATTATACTTGTAGGTACAAGCTCAGTTGGACGTTCACAAATCAGGGAGCCCCCATAATCACCTTCTCATTTAACCTTTGAGATGTGTCCTCTGGTACCGGGCTTGCATTAAAATGAATTAAAATCAGATTGCAGAGGAATTCATCAAGGATCAAGATCTTAAATATCTCAGTAACATCATCTCAATGTTGTGTATTTATTTCAAACATCCACGATCTTGCCTCAAAGTACTAAAGGCCAATCCATACTGCAGGGCCATTTAGATCAGTATCCAAAACTTCATACAGTTTTCAGGGCGAATGTACTAACATTCACATGCACTAACATCACTGATGTTATTAGGAATAAAAGTGCAGTGTTTTTTTAACACGGTGAGAAATTGCAAAGAGTTGATTTCCAAAGGGACCTAGATGATAATAAGTCTCTTAGTTCTCCTAGTTCATAAATCTCTGAAACCTAGCACGCAGACACAGCAAGCAATTTGAAAGGCAAATGGTATGTTTAACTTTACCACAAGAGGAGAACAATACAACAGCAAAGAAGTCCTACTTAAATTGTATAGAACACTGCTGAAACTGTGCCTGGAGTATGGTGTGCAGTTCTGGTCCCCTTGCCCAACGAAGGACATACTTAACCCAGAGGGAATGCAGCTGCATGCTTGCCTTCATTGGTCAGTGCATAGAGTATAAGAGTTAGGATATCACGTTGCAGCTGTATAGGACTTTTAGAATTTTGTGTTCAATTTTGGTCTCCCTGCTATAGGAAAGGTGTTGTTAAACTTGAAAGGCTTCAGAAAAGATTGACAAGGATGTTGCTGTGATTTGAGGGTTTGAGCTATAGGAAGAGGATGAATAGGCTGGGGCTATGTTCCCTGGAATGTCGAAGGCTGAAGGATGACCATTTACAAGTTTATATAATCATGAGGGGTATGGATAGGGTGAAAAGTCAAGGTTTTTTTTTCCCCAGGGTAGGGGTGTCCAAAACTAGAGGGAATAGTTTTAAGGAGAGCGGGGAAAGATTTGAAAAGAACCTGAGGTTCAACATTTTCATGCAGAGGGTGGTGCATGTACGGAACAAGCTGCCAGAGGAGGTGGGTACAATTATAACATTTAAAAGGCTTCTGAACGGGTACATAATTAGAAAGGGCTTAGAGGGATATGGGCTAAATGCTGGCAAATGGGACAAGATCAATTTGGGATATCTGGTCATTGCAGACGAGTTAGACCAAAAGTTCTGTTTCCGTGCTGTATAAGAGGCACTTGCCTTACTTAAGAAGATAAAGGCTAAACTAACTTGCCAGGCAAAATTACTAAAACACTGCTGGAAGCTGTACAGAACACATTTGTTCTTAAGACTACTCATGCAGACCTAAACTGTCTCCATGCAAAGACTGTGACATATCAGATGGAGGGCAGAGTTCAATACAGCTCAAAGTTAACTTTTGCAAAACCACTGCCTTATACAACAGAACCTATCATCATCAGTACAAAATAAAAGGGTTACCTACTGGTGCCAGGTGATTGCACTGAGGACATTCCCTCCAGTTTTAAGAAACCTAAGGGTAAAATAATAGAAAATATTGTTAATTAAAAGATCTCTTTATAACAAAAAAAAGCTCAGAATTTCTGGCCATTTCAAACTCAAACTGCTGGGCCAAGGAAAGAACACATAAATTAACCCTTTCCCCAGCTTGGCACTGAGGTTTGGATTATTGCATTATTAATCTAAACTGACACTGCAGCCTCCTTTTGAGTTATAGAGATTTGTTATCAGACAATGTAAATTATTTTGTTGCATTAGTGGAAACTGTTCTAACATTACAGCTGCAAATATTTCTAAAGTATATTAGTACTGTGTACAATTTTGGTTTCCTTACTTAAGAAAGGATGTACTGGAACTGGAGGGGTGCACAGGAGGTTCACTAGGTTGATTCTGAATTAAAAGGGTTGGCTTATGAGGAGAGATTGAGTAGACTGGACTATACTCATTGGAATTTAGAAGAATGAGGGGGGATCATATAGAAACATATAAAATTACGAAGGGAATAGATAAGATAGAGCAGGAACTTTGTTTCCACTGGTGGATGAAACTAGAACTAGGGGGCAAAGCCTCAAAATAAGGAGGAGCAGATTTAGGACTGAGTTGAGGAGGAACTTCTTCACCCAAAGGGTTGTGAATCTGTGGAATTCCCTGCCCAGTGAAGCAGTTGAGACTACTTTGTTGAATGTTTTTAAGGCAAAGATAGATTTTTGAACAGTAAATGAATTGAGGGTTGTGGTGAGTGGGCGGGTAAGTGGAGCTGAGTCCATGAAAAGATCAGCCATGATCTTAGTGAAAGGTGAAGAAGGCTTGTGGGGCCAGTTGTCCAACTCCTGCTCTTATTTCTTATATTCTTATATTAATAGACCCAGTCTCAAACAGGTATGATGTGAAAAAAAAATCATATTAGTCATTTTGCCTATGTCAATTTATAGGCCTAAACTTCATTTTCAGGTAGAACTATCTGCTCTCTCAGGTGGATGTAAAAGATCACAAGGTACTATCTGAAGAAGAGCCGAGGAGTTCTCTCAATGAATTTGTAAACACTTATCACTCAGGCTATTTGGTTAGTTATATTGCTGCTGTACCTGACGTATTTCTGCATTTCTCTACATTACAACAGTGACAACACTACATCAGTATTTGTTTTGCTATGATCAACATTGGTACGTTCCAACAATGTGAAATTGTACATGGGTAAATTATTTCTATTCTTTATCCCAAGGTCCCTAAATTAGTCAAATAGGCAAAAATCTTGAGATCCTACCATGGGGGTTCCTTTTCGACATACCAACTGATTGGAGGAGGAGTTTACTATTAGTGCGTAAAACCTCTGGTAACTAATGGGTTAGAGACATGGTGGCATTGCTTCTGGAACAGACATTTGCCAAAGTGATTGAGAACTCACCCTTTCAGCAAGGTGATTATCGCTCGTTTTCCAGGCTGTCCAATGTCAGGTCCATAGAGTCCAGAGTGGTTGAAGACCTTGAAGGTGTGCAGCAAATTATACAAATGCTCAAAGTCTTGTCCAAGCTGAGAGCCGTGAATTTTTATGTGAGCTTTCTTTCTAAAACTGTTGGGCTCTGTGAAAACAAGATAAAGAAAGAACAGAGTGACAAAGTTGCACATTGTTCACCTCGACTTCTGCATCCTTTTATGTAGCCTGGTCATATGGCCATTTCCACGGAACGAATTAGATTCAAGGTTTCAGCTAAAGGGCCCCAGTTACTGACCATTTCCAACTTTTGTCAATGTTTATGTGGTACATAGGAAGCTCATGCTGATGTGAAATGGTAACAATTGGAGCAGGAGCATCTCTAATCTAGAGCATAAGTGAGAACTGGGTTGAATCAAACATTTGGGTTGGATATTCATACTTTTTACTGCTTGAGTATTAGTCATTTTCTTCAACAACCCTCTGGGTTAGAGAATTCCAAATTGTAAGTTGACCCTTTATTCTGAGATCATGTCCACATATTCTAGACCACAAACTTAGTGGAAACAACTTCTCAGTGTTTGCCCTTCAGAATCCTGTAAGCTTTAATGAGATCATCTCCTATTTTTCTGAACTTCTAAACTTTGTTAAACAAGAAGACAAAAACTGTGCAAATGCGTATAACTAGGAGTAGGACTTCCTAATTACTTGCTGTACCTGAGTGCTAACTTTTTGTGTTTCATTATAGGTGTGATCTCACCAAGTCCTGGACAATTCTTTTTTATTCATTCACAGGATGTGGGTGTTACTGGCTAGGCTGACATTTATTTACCATCCCTAATTGCCCAGAGGGTACATTGCTGTGGGTCTGAAGTCACACATAGGCCAGGCTACACAAGGATGACAGTTTCCTTTCCTAAAGTACATTAGTGAACCACATGGGTTTTCCCCCAACAACTGACAATGGTTTCAAGGTCATCATTAGACTCTAAATTCCATATATTTATTGCACTCAGATTCCACCATCTGCTATGGTGGGATTTGAACCTGGGTCCCCAGAACATGACATAGAAACGTAGAAGATAGAAGCAGGAGTGGAGCATTTGACCATTCGAACCTGCTTCACCATTCAATATGATCATGATTGATCATCGAGATCTATACCCAAATCCTGACCTCCCTCCATATCCCTTGATCTCTTTAATCACAAGAGCTATATCTATCTTGTTGGAGACACATATTGTTTTGGTCTAAAACCACTTTCTGTGGTATGGAATTCCACAGGCTCACCAGTCTCTCTGTGAAGAAATTTCTCCATATCTCCTTCTTAAAAGATTTCCTCTTTATCCTTAACCTATGGCCTCTGGTCTGGACTCCCCCATCATTCGGAACATCCTGCACCAAACCTATCTAGACCTGTTAGAATTTTATAGGTTTCAATGAATTCCCTCCCCATTCTTCTAAACTCCAGTGATTACAACCCTAACCAACTCAATCCCTCTTCATATGTCAATTCTGCTATTTCAGGAATCAACTTGGTAAACCTTTGTTGCAGAAATAGTAGGAACTGCAGATGCTGGAGAACCTGAGATAACAGGGTGTAGAGCTGGATGAACACAGCAGGCCAAGCAGCATCAGAGGAGCAGGAAGGCTGATGTTTCAGGCCTAGACCCTTCTTCAGAAAAAAAACAAGTTATCCTTGTTTACAACCTCTGGCAATGAAGGCCAACATATAGTTTGTTTTCTTTACTGCCTGCTGAACCTGTATGTCTACTTTCACAATTGGTTTATGATGACACCCAGGTCTGGTTGATCATTCTCCTCTCAATTTACAGCTATTCAAATAATAATCTGCCTTCCTACTTTGGCGACCTAAGTGGATAACCTCACATTTTCCACAGTATATTGCATCTGGTTCACTCAGCCTGTCCAAATCACACTGCAAAATCTCTGCATCCTCTTCACAGATCATCCTTCCACCCAGGTTTGTATCACCTGCAAATTTTGGGATATTACGTTTTGTTCCCTCGTCTAAATCATTAACATATATTGTGATCCCTGTGGTAACCCACTAATTGCAGCTTGCCATTCAGAAAAAGACCTACTTCTTGTTTCTCATCTGCTAACTAATTTTCTATCCATCTCAATACATTACTCCCAATCTCACCTGCATTAATCTTACACATTAATCTTTTATGTGGGACTTTGGCAAAAGCCTTCTGAAAGTCCGAGAGCAGACATGTACTGCTGAGACAGCATAAGGCACTGGTAGGACTGCACTAGGAATATTGTGAGCACTTTTGGGCTCCATATCTAAGGAAGGATATGGAGGAGGGAGTTGGAGGGAGTTTAGAGGAGTTTTACAAGAATGATCGGGGGGGTGAAGCACTTATCATTTGAGAAGCATTTGAGGACGCTAGTTCTGTACTCATTACAATTTATAAGGATGAGGGGTGATTCCCATTGAAACTCTCAGAATACTGAGACACCTGGGTAGAGTGGACTTGGAGAAGATATTTCCACTAGTAGCAGAAACTAGGAGCAGAGGGCACAGCCTCAGAGTGAAGGGACAACCTGTTAGAACTGAGATGAGAAGGAATTTCTTCAGCCAGAGGGTGGTGAATCTGTGGAACTCACAACCACAACGGGCTGTGGAGGCCAAATCATTGAGTGCATTTAAGACAGAGATAGATGTTTCTTGATTAGTAAGGAGATTGGAGAGAAGGCAGCAAAATGGGGTTGAAAACATGTCAGCTATGAGTGAACGGTGGAGCAGGCTTGATGGGCCAAATGATTTAATTCTGTTCCTATATCTTATGGTCTACCGTCTAAACCACATCCACTGGCTCCCCCTGACCAACTGTACTAGTTATGTCCTTGAAGAATTCCAACAGATTTGTGAAGCATGATTTCACTTTTGTAAATCCATACTGACTGTGCCGGATTCTACCACTGTTTTCTAAGTGGTCTGCTGTAAAATCCTTGATAATGGACTATAGCATCACTCCCCGCTGTCAATGTCAGACTCACTGGTTTATAATTCCCTGATTTCTCTCTACTTCCATTTTTAAAGTACAGCAGTTACATTAGCTACCCTCCAATCTTTAGCAATGGTTCTAGGGTCTAACCTCTGGATTAATAGTCTAGTGACTATTACTAGCAACATGGCTATCACCTCCCAAATTTAAGCAAGACTTTATAACATTTGTATTAAAGGCCAACATGTCATTTGACTTTCTAATTGTTTGTGGTTCTTGCATGCTAACTCTCTGTGTTCCTCATTCACACCTTAAGACCTTCTGAACATCAAAATTTAGAAGTTTCATATCTTTTGAAAAATCCTTTGCTTTCCTGGTCTTGTTACCCAAGTGAATAAATTCATACTTAGTCACATTACACTCTATCTGCCAATTTGTTGTCCATGTGCTTAACCTGTCTCTAGCTCGTTGCAGCTTCTTATTGTGTCCTCCTCACAGCTTACATCCCACCTAAAGTTTTACGATCATAGTTAGATTACCCTAATCTCTTTATCTAAGCAACTAATATACATTGGAACATGGACTTTCTAAACACTTTTTATAGCTTTTTCAAAGTGAATATTTTTAATAATTTACAACTCCCTTTCTCTTACAAAAATCAATATTAACTTACCATTGCCAAGTTCCCAGGACATGTCATATTTTCTCAATGCACAGTACTGCAGAAGCTTTTGGGCGTTTGAGCTATCCCATGCTTGGTTTTTCCTCAATAAGGCATTGAGACCAAAGATTAAATGAAGCCCAGAGCAGTTTGCAAAACTGTACAAGATGTCCACAGATCTTTCTGCAAGTTAAAAAAACATCAACTTCAGATCACATTGTGATCACTTGTGCCACACACTCCATTTCATGATAATGGTGCATTGTTCAGCATTGCAATCAATTTTACTCACTGCATGCAGTTACTGAGATTGCAAAAGTTCTACTCAATCTTTGGAGAAAGAAGGTCCCAACACCAAGTTTGAAAATGGTGAGAAAAACCAGTCTTTTCGCAACGTTGACAGCACCTTGCAGATTTTGCATAAAAACAATTGAAAATACTAAAATTACCTGAAATTGTAATGTTTTTAAAGTCTTGCTGGAATTGCTCTTTCAGGATGACAGGGGCTTGCAAGGCCAAGAGATGTGTCAGATACTTCTCCACGTCATAGGGAACTGTATTTAGACAATCACCTACCAGGAGATTAAGCAAAGAAACGGTCAGTCCCAACACTGGACAGGGTCCTTATTAAAACATGCACACAAATTTGCATTTCCATCACCAGTTCCTCCTCACCATTTAAAGAAAATATCTGAGATTTTGCAACTTCTATAGAGGTATAAGAAATTGGGAATCAAATGAAACCTCCAGCACAGCAGACCTGCCCCCTGCTCCCGCCCTCCCCCCACCCCGCCAATCCACCAATTCTTTACTGCCTACCTTCCAACAATTTATCTTGTGTTGGCATTTTATTAAACAAATTCCTCTGCTGTTTTAAAGGAGTTATTGGTCCCTTAAAAGTTTGCACCTCCAATAACTTAGATGAGGGGATGAGCAATGAGATGAGGAATAAAGGCTGGCCTAGCCAGTGAAGGCCACATCCCCTGAATGAATACTTTTAAAAAGCATGGTAGATGTTCATAAGGCAACTACTCAGAAGCTGGCAGGTTAATGGAATGCAGTTAAAATATATTGCAGGTATCAAGTGCAGATGGATAATATTTTAATTAATCAGAAATGATCAGTGGATTTCATGGACTATATTAACCATGATATAAACATGCTAACCCCAAAGACTGGTGGGTAGGTCAAGGTTAACATATGAAAACCCAGGACACAGTCTCACATTCCTTTGACATTTTTATTGTCTCAGATAACAAGATGTCACTGTGTTCTCACATGGACAGCTGGAGGTGGTTTGGATTTTTTAAAAAGCATATTTAAAATTGGGATCCCAGATTACAAATGGAAGACCAATTTGAAGCTCACGGCGGGGGGAAAAATTATTTTTAAAATTGGTCACCACGGTCTAGTTCAGACTTTAATCTCAGTTTTACTATCACACAAGCTCCACCCCATTCTCTTTGCAGTTAGAATGAAGACACAACTGTTAACAGCAAACAGATTAATGCACACAGGCATATCATGCAATTGTATTAGAAAATAAATACTAATATCACATGATCTCAAACATAATGCACAACTAAGTGTTACAGTGAGAAAAACTGGCAGTGACAAAATACATTATTTGATCAAAATGCAGATAATTTCAAATCTGAAACTGAAACAACTGCGGAAGCTGTAAATCAGAAACAAAAACAGAAGTTGCTGGAACAGCTCAGCAGGTCTGGCAGCATCTGTGAAGAGAAATCAAAGTCTGTTGACCCTGGCTCAGATCCTTCCTCCTTAAAATCTGAGTTCATTGACTCAAATAAGTTCAAACCTGCAATAGAAGTAAAGGACGTATGGGGGCGTCCTCAACACTAACATATGGCACTTCACAAAAAAAATGCAGAAAAACAAAACATTGAAATCTATTGAAATTATCCATAACAATACAGAGCTGGGAGAAGCTTAGAAAACCACAATCAACAAAGCATTTCATTCATTTATCCTCTTAACCCTTCCCCATATTTCCCTCCCAGGACCCAACAGCTCCGTTGTCAACAGGGCCTTCAACCAGGTCCGACCCATCTCCCGCACTTCCGCCCTCACTCCTTCTCTTCCCTTCCACAACGGTGATAGGGTTTCCCTTATTCTTACCTACCATCCCACCAGCATTCACATCCAGAAGATCATCAGACGCCATTTCCACCACCTCCAGCAAGATGCCACCACCAGACACATATTCCCCTCCCCTCCCTTGTCCGCCTTCCGCAGAGACTGTTCCCTCCGGGACACTTCACCCCCAACACCTCCCCACAGCCCTACGGCACCTTCCCCTGTAACCGGCGAAGGTGCAACACCTGCCCATTTACCTCCTCCCTCCCCAGTATCCAAGGGCCCAAACGTACCTTCCAGGTGAAGCAACACTTCACCTGCACTTCCCAGAATCTAATCTACTGCATTCGCTGCTCACAATGTGGTCTCCTCTACATTGGGGAAACGAAGCAGAGACTTGGCGACCGCTTTGCAGAACATCTACGTTCTACTTGCAAAAAAGACCCTGAACTACCCATTGCCTGCCACTTCAATGCACCACCCTGTTCCTTGGCCAACATCTCCGTCTCTGGCTTGCTACAGTGTTCCAGTGAAGCCCAATGCAAGCTGAAGGAACAACACCTCATTTTCTGCTTGGGGACTCTACAGCCCTCCGGACTCAATATTGAGTCCAATAATTTTAGGGCCTAAACTCTCCCCTGTCCCAGCCCCCCACCCCACACACCAGGCTTTGTTACCACATAGTCTGCCATTACACACCCCCTGTTGTTAGTCACTAACAGTCCCCATTAACAACTACTCACCCTCCCAGCCTGGTCGTTAACAACTCCTTTGTCTGCCCAACTGTCTTTCTCTCTCTTTGGGCTCTATCCTATCGTTTACTCCCTACCCCACCCACCTCCCTATTTTCTGCATATAAACTGACGTTTTCCCAGCCACTATCAGTTCTGAGGGAGGGTCACCGGACCCGAAACGTTAACTCTGATTTCTCCTTCACAGATGCTGCCAGACCTGCTGAACTTTTCCAGCAACTTTGTTTTTGTTCCTGATTTACAGCATCCGCAGTTCTTTTGGGTTTTTTTCAGTGAAATCAATGTGCCCACTATCTGGACCGGTTTGAAGGTTCAGTTTTCAGTAGGAAGACACAGCACACTTGCAGGCCGAGATAGCAAGACCTGCCGATGCTGCAGTAAGAGATAACACAATGTGGAGCTGGAGGAACACAGCAGGCCAGGCAGTATCAGAGGAGCAGGAAAGCTGTCGTTACGGGTCGGGACCCTTCTCCAGACATTGCAGGCAGGTACTTCCTTGTCGTATACACAAACAGACTCATGGCCTAAGATCAATATTTACTAAACGCGTGTTTTTTTTGCTCTTCCTTTTGCCTAGCATCATGTTCATGTGTTTGTATTTCTTGATGTTAATCTTCCTCATACTCTCCTCCCACATCCCACACAAACCAACACAGACCCCTCCGTCCTGTCTGGAGCATCTTAATGGAACAGGCGTGGAACAACATTTAAAATTAAAACACTGTTCAGAGTGGAGATTACACAGAAAATACTGAGATTAGCCTGTTCCAGACAGCTACGCTGCAGACATAAACCGATTATTTCAACAAAAGTATAGCTGGTGAGACATTTCATGCAAATAACACAGAAGGTTCATTAAGCCTGCATAGTGCAGCAATTGAGAACAGAAGCGAGCCTCAGTTTTTCTTAGAAGAGGCACAAAACTTAACTCCCGGAAGGGATATGAACATAATATTATTTCCTTTGAGAAAGGAAATGGCCATTTTAAAGCATTTTTAAAAAAAATAATCGAATGCCCTGACCTTTGCAACAGAAGTATTAATAAAGATCAGTCAGTGCCTAATTGCACATAGGGAGCCCATAGCTGAGATTGTGAAAAAAACAGGAGAGTGAAATAAAAACATCCACTTCTTTAATTTAGTAACGAATAAACAAAATCTATTTTATTATCCAAGCTTCAATGCACCACCGCGTGTTTCAGCATCTTGTCTAGTTTTTATGGCAAAACCAGTGACCAGTCTGCTCCTGTCGATGGTATTCCAAACATAACATCATATCATCCTGATAAAGTTTGGGAAGAGAAGCTGACAACTGAATGCAAAATTGTCACAAAATTAAAAACGATTGCACTATCAAGTGCATACAGATCCAGGGTGAGGAAAGGAGATACACCAACAATCCTCAGAGATAGTAAGAGCTGCCGATGCTGGAGTCAGAGATAATATGTTTTGAAGCTGGATGAACACAGCAGGCCAGGCAACATCAGAGGAATAGGAAAGTTGACATTTCGGGTAGGGACCCTTCTTCAGACTCTTTTTCTGAAGAAGGGTCCCGACCCGAAACGTCAGCTTTCCTGCTCCTCTGATGCTGCCTCGCCTGCTGTGTTCCTCCAGTTCCACACTGTGTTACACCAACAGCACTGTTGGGAAGAGAATTTCAGGATTTTGACCAAGTGACGTTAAAGAAGTAGCAATATATGGTAGCGAGTGGCTTTGAGGGGAACTTGCAGCTGGTGGCGTTCCCATTTTCCTGCTGCCCATGTCATTCTATGTCGTAGAAATCGTAGGTTGGGAAGGTGCGCTCTAAGATCCCGAGTTGCCACGGTGCACCTTGTATTTTGTACACACTACTGCCATTGTGTTGGAAGAGGGAGTGAATGCTGACGGATTTGAACTTTAATCCTCTAACTCCTCATGTCAAAGAAAAACAAGGCGGAGTCTTCTTTACGTGACTTTTCCAGTAAATACTCAACGCAGTGTCTGTTTACAATGTTCATTCTGCAGCTTTGAAGTTCCTATACAAATTCCTGTCATTTACTTGCCCGGAGGGCTTTTCTTTGTGGCGGATGAAGGTTAGGAGAGAGGGTCGGTGCTCACCACCGCACTCTCTTTCCCAACCCCGGGGGTCCGGTCTTTCACTTTACGGGGAAACGTCAGCTTTCCTGCTCCTCTTGATGCTGCCTGGCCTGCTGTGTTCATCCAGCTCTACACAGTGTTGTCTCAGACTCCAGCATCGGCAGTTCTTGCTATCTCTCACTGCTCAGCCAGATGTCCCTTCTGTAGTAGTATCTGAACTCTTCTTCAAGTGATGTATGTAGAGGAGCAACTTCAGCAAACCCACCAGCCAACTGGACTGAGGCTGGAAACTCACTTCTGGGGCTGCAATCACGAAATGCTTCAATGGTTGGCCCAAACAGTCACTGCATTTTAATTCATTATAGCCCCTAATGGATTGTTAGCGCATTATTTTGCCCAGAACCACTCCCCAGAGTAGAATTTTTTAATATATAGTAACACATTGACCCTGGGCTTGACTTTAACTCTGTCAAATTGGATGGATTTTGGGGAAGTTAAAAATTCCACCCATTGTGTTAGTTTATTTTCTAAGGGTTGGGGTGGGGTGGAAGGACAGTGTTGTTAAACTCCAGTTGAAGGTGAATGTGAATATTGCCAGGTGCTTCACGGAGCTTTCTACACGTTAATGGCTCCCAACCCATCAATTTGGTATTGAGAGTGCAATGGGTCATAAGACAGTGATGTAACAAAGGAACAAAGCAGGAGAATTTACAGAGTGGTTGAACTGTCGGTTCACATTGGCATCTCCTTGCAAAAGAGTAAGTGCATGTACCACCAGTTCCGACCGGTTGTCAGCTGTTCGAGATAGCAATTTCACCGAAGAGCAATATGTAACGAAATGATCAACGAAACAGCTCAAACAATGTCGCAACAGCAGTGGGGAAATGTCAAAGTCACTTGGATTTATTGTCACCACAAGTCCCTTCCAGGCAACTGCTGAGGAAAGAGTGGAAATGATGACTCAGCATGTGATTCACTGCCGATTTGCTCAATTTACACTCGCCTGCTCGGACGTGCTGGTGACACAGCTCAGTAGCAGAATTGGATTGCATGCTTTTTTGAAAAAAAAAAGTTATGACCATTAGGACCATCAGAAAAAGAGCCTCCTCAATTGATCTGTAGCCACTATCAAACATGTCATTGTAAGTAAATATTGGAATTTACATCAAACACTCAGGTTCATCTTTTGGAATCCTTGCATAGTTCTAGGGTAAGGACATCTAAAACTATTGGCACTTTTTGTGAAAAGCACTAGAAAACCACTGCACAATCTCGATATGTCAACAAAGATGAGGAACACAAAAATAAAACGAGACAGATAGGGAGACAATACAGCTCAAACAATAATTTAGATGTTATGTCGAGTTTCAAATTGGGTTGTTACTCCACTCATAGCAGCAGATTATAGTGGCTGAATGTCCTGTAATTTTGAATTTGTAAATGTCAGTTATTCGTGGTACTAAATTATGGTTTGTAGAGGTAAAAAAATACACCCACTTATTTTAGGCGCAGGACGCCCAAAAGAAGACTAAAACTTGATTTTGAGCTGTTTTTAATATTCACAGTTTAGAGAAGTGACAAAGTTTGGCACAACCTCCACCCCAAAGCATCTTTAGATTCAGGTAGGCTTTCTTTCAGCATTCCTTCTCCCTATATGTTTTTTTTTCAAATTTCAAAATATACTTTATTCATTAAAAATCTTTATATATATACATAGTCACAAATGCAGTTTGCTTCTGTAGGGTAGCATTTCAAAGAAACAAACAATAGAGCTTGACTCTATCCAAACAAACTAAAGGATCTCTTACTTGAACGAGGCTACATTTACATGTATTTGAGCCACTAGGAGGGCCTGATAACTGAACAGACCCCCATTTAACTTCAGCAGGAGGACATCAGACAGTGGGCTTTCCTTCTCCTCATATATGCAACTTTACATTGCTCTGCATAGACCTTTCTCTACTCTGTGAACTCATCTACATTCTCTGGCACCCTCTTTCAGTTGCTGTGTCCTCTAATGTGGTAGCACTAGTAAATTTTAGGGTTGTTGCACAGTCACTTCACACCATATTACAATTACAGTTAGAACTACTGGTCCTTTCATTCAAAACAAAGTGAAAATTGATAGCTGTTTGTAGGAGAAATGTGGAAAGGCAATTCAAAATAAAGGTTGCATTTTCTAAAGGAGATGCGCAATGAGAGGGACTTGGGACGTGTTGAAAGTGGCAGGGCAAATTGAGACAGGTGCTTGGGA